GGTCCTGATTCTTTGTTTTCGTGAAAAAACGAACAACCCCGCGAATTACAAAACTTTGTGGGGTACGAATAAAAGACCAAAAGATCTTCTACTGTATTACCCAAACACCTTTTCTGAACGATCTTGGTGGATCAATCGAACGAAGCTCTCGAATCTCACAAACTCTCAAGAAGAAGACAAAAGGGTCGATCGGTTTCTCTTGATAAGGGAGAAGACTGGATGTGTTTTCTCTTTCTCTTTTGTGGTTGGAGGTTTATTTATAGGGCCGCAGTAGAGACTTCAATGGGGTGTTAAATATAGGTTTCCCAAGCATGAGCCCAACTGTTGGCTAAACCCAATCTGCTCAATGCTCGAATAATAAATCATTTCACTAGAGAAATATCATTGCACTCCCATAACTCCGAATTACAATTAATTCTTTCCCATCTTTATTGCTCATTTACACTCCCGTATTTACGTCCATTGATTAATTAAATTACTGACAATATAATTAATGAACTTCTCGAATCCGAAACTAGTACCACTTAATTCTTTATTATTATGTCGGAAATTAATACGCCGGCCGAGCTTGACATAATAATAATCTTATGCTCATTTTGGAGACATCATCAACTCAATCATTCCTGGGATATGGTGACCGTAAACAATATCGACGACACATCATGCAGCTGACATTACTTACCAAAATAACGAGTATGTCGACCTACCGGAGTAGGTCTCACCCATGATAAATCAAAGTAAGTGCCGACAATATATGCCCGTAGATTGTCTTACGAGTTAAGAATACGCATCAAATAATGAGGTCTAGATTCTTTACTTGGTCAGTATAAATAATCTTATCATCATGTGGGTCCGTTCAATACATTTAGGATGTACAAGTGTAATCCATCGGTCTAAGATAAACTAATTCCAAGATTTTCACTACAGTATTTCATGACAGGTAGTTTAGTTCCGTCTCGACTGTGAACCATTATTTATATTTTACAAGGAACTAATAATATGATCTTACTGTTCCAGACCCAGAACCATATTACCTACAATGTAAAATAAAAGAACTATGTTTACATAAATATATAAACTACGAACATTCACTTAACTAAAAACACACATCTCATTCACAATGGAATTATTGAGTAACACAAAATAGGGTGGAACCCATATAGTTGGGGTGAAGAAAATAAAGTGCAATAATAAATATTTAGTGGAATTATTTATTATTAATGACCCAGAAAATAGGGTGGACCACAAGCCAAGTATTTATTGACCCACTGGGAGTCTTAATCCTAGTCTGCTTAGGTCCCTGTTGTAGCCTATATATAAACCATGTGGGGAACTCATTCTCATAACTCAACTCTAGCTTCACATGTGAGAGAGGAGATGAAGAGAGTTCAAGCCACACGTAATTGGTAGATCGTTGCCCACACGACGTCCAGCCGATGCAAGGAATATAACATAAAACTCACGGTGTTGGGCGATCACCGGCGGTCTGCACATAGCCAACAGCGCACGACCAGCCATAGTGCAGCCCCTCGGAGATACGCCCAAGCGCATGGCAGCCAGCCCCGTGGCATTCCAACACGACGCAACACCACTAGAGACGTCCAGCCGCAACAAGCACACGACTGCAACGACCAGGCGCCACGTAGAGCAACAGTCTGCATGCGATACCCGACGCATGCAACCAGATGACGTGAGCAAGCGGTGTATGGAAAGGACTCAGCGAAGGGACACCAACAAGATGAGGCAGATGAAGAAAGGTTGGAGACATCTGAGAACCATTAGTCCGGGCCCATAGCCCGTGTAATCTATACAGAGTCGGCTTTTGTGAAAACATAAGATCTTTATCATAAACTTTAGTTTTCTGCTGCGTGTAGGATTAATTTCTTAGGTATTCTATTAGAGAACAATGGCCGACGTTCTTCGTCGAACCCAACACTAGTCAGCCCTCCTGCCTTGACCTCTTCTAAGGCCCATTATACATTTACGCACTCCTTGGTATACCGAGATACGTACTACCTGAGAGAATCTTTGTCTCACTACTGCATGTTATTGAGTGTCAAGTACGTTTTTGATGTTTATGTGTGCTAGAGAGATGATTGACAAACAACAAGTTGAACCCTCATAAGTTCTTTACAAATTCTGGTGAGAGCTGATGGAACAAGTACTGAGAAGGTTCATTTCGCATAGCCAAGATTCATTTCGCATAGCCAAGAATGTCCGACAGCAAACTGGGTTGTTGTATTTATGCAGCACAACCATATTTTCAAAGACCTCAATTGTAGATCCGGGTCTATGGACCCATTGTAAGACAAGTTCTAGCTCCCTAAATCCATGCGATATATCTTCGTCGAGCACTTCATCCGCAAATGGGTGCCCATAAAGCCTGGGATCACGGTGTCCCTCGATCTTTTCCTGAAGCTAATGTAGCTGGAGCACCATTCGTTCCGGGGTCGGGTCTCATTGAGCTTCTGAAGCAACACTAGGAGAATTAACGGATCGCTCAGGCTTGTCGTCCCCCCACCTTGATACCACAGGTCGCAATGTGATTTCCAACATGCTTGGACAGGTTGGGTGCACACCGCCACTGCTTCTACGATCATCATCTTCAACTCTATCCGGGTGATCTGGATGGTATTTCCTCGAGGAGGGAGAGGGTGGACTGACACGGGAACGAGTGCTCGCTCATATTCCTCAACGACCCCCGATACCCATGGAGGTTCTAATTTTAGGCGCAACTGGTCCTCCGGCCTGCCATCAGTCATCTCCTCTGGGGATCGTACCGGTATACCTTGGGGACAGGAGACCTCGTTAACCAGCGTTCTCGCTAATTCCTGTTAGAGAGCATTCTAGAGGTGGGCTCAAGCCCCAAAGGTCGTTTTCCCAACCAGGTGTCGCCGTAACCTTTTTCCATGTGTTGATACCCGAGTTGGGCACATATGAAAGTTACGGTTCAAAGGTGAAGAACTAAAGGAGGTCGACCCGATCGTCGAGGCTGGTCATCGAGTTACATCAGAAGTGCCGAGCTGATCAGGGGCCAAATTCAACAAGGGCGACGAGCTACATCGCTCCCGAGATCGGCATCTTAACTTTCTCGCTACGAAGCCGGCCCGAATAAGTGCTGGGCGGAGAAATGGGGCCCGGAAGACCGGAATGGATTAGCTGCCGAAGTCCGACCTGGGAGTTTCATTAAATCGACTTTCGTGGGATCTAAGGATCTAGGAAACAATAAAATAATGCCACTTGTCAATCAAATGATTACCGATGGGATGTCTCAGACTAGCATGCAGACCTAGGACGTCTAACCCGGCCTAAGGGCATGTCCGCATTTAATGAAGCCCATACCCGCATTTAATGCTCTGTAGGTAATAACTGGGAAAGCCACGAATCACTCCCAATCAGTCAAAAAAGCGCCGGCCTGTCCCTCAAAGCCACTGTACGACACGACAGCATGAATAGTAAAGGAACAGTATCCCATTAAATGCTACTATAAATAGGAGACCCCCTCATTTATTTTGGGGTTGTTGAATTCTCAGGTAATAAGATCCCTCTTTATGGTACCGACCTCGTATGAGAGGCTGACCTCATGATTACGTAATAAATAGTGATTAACTCGTATTCTCTTTGTTATTTTCCATCTCATATTATCATTACTTTGTATTTTAACCGTTGATCGGATCCGTCCATCAACACCATGTTAGCTCCTTCTTTTTCCATCATTAACATCGTTGGTACCTTCGTATGACTTGTTGAGAAGATGCAATCCCGCTTAAAACAAAGTAGAACTATGTTTTCCCACAGACGATGCTAATTTGATACAGATCTACCAAATAACTCATGTTTAAGTAGCCAGATCTTTGGATCTCTGAATCGTTCTTGACCCTCTCGTCTGAGTACCTAAAAAAGCGTTGCGAGGGTTCTCGACATAGAGCCTTCGATGATAAAGGTAGTCTCTCGTTTATAATGTGTATATGATAATGAACAGAACGTCCCCAAACAGTAACTATACCTCTACTTTCATAGGAGAACAATTACCTTGTTCCCCCCGAGTTTTATTTCCTTAAGGCAACGAAATATACACATATTGTATTGTACTGGATGTCCTTCCATGTATTTCAGACTCTCAGGATTCTCATAATCCTATCTCCCTTAGATGTCACGCCGTTAACACCTCCACCAATTCACTAGGTCAACCCGAAAGTCACCGCTAGAATTAGATGTTCTATCTTGTACCAGTCCACTAGTTGAGGTTTCAGGTTACATAGGTCATAGGTCCATAACATGACCTATCGTCCGTTGAACCTACCTCGACCAACTCGATCTGTCTCCTCTAAGTCGAGCTAGGGAGCTTCGATCCATTACCAAGTGACACTAAAACCCCAGTTCATGACCGGTCGTGTATCCTTTTTTCTAAATCTATTATTCAAATTCGATGGATATAAATTTTGAATTAGGCTTTTGACCTACCTCTATTTTTAAACTTTCATTTCCTCACTTTGAAAAATATGTTGATATCTTCGATCCATTCTTCTTGTTCCTAGATTTGATATGGAAATAAATTGTTGTTCCCGTCCTCTATAGATAGAGAAACATCTCCAATCACAAGATACAAGATGGAGATACCGTGGAGTTAGTCAATCATACTGCCAGCACAATGCTTAAAAGAGCATTGAGAAACAATTGTGGGCAAAATTTGATCCTACTTTCAGGATTTTTAGTCGTTTACCATATTCACATTTATTCATACAGATGCTATATGAAATTCATCCAAACTTGGGAGAAAAGCTAGACAGACCATCTTTAAGTGCTAAGATATTTCATTGTTTCACTCTAGTTTTGTAGGCTTTGGAATTGAAAGGAGGGCAGAGACCGGCCGTTGTGAGACGGACTAAAACTTTTTGCTCTGAGCCAATGTACCTTTTTCAAGCTGGAAAAAGGTGGCACTTTTGGCCTTAATATATTCGAATCTTTTATTTAATATATTAGTTCTCAAAAGCATGAGAGAGAGAATGCTTTTCCTCAAAAGCATCACAACTTTGAAGAAGAAAATAGAGAGAGACATGTTCGTGCACAGTAGAAAAGGGACAAAACATCACATGGCAAACAGGATAAAAATCCAAAACCGTCTTGGTACTTGCTATTTGACACTTACATTACACCGTCATTTTTCATTTCGGACTGCGACCCTATTAGCTTCATTTCATACCAAAATTTCTCCACTAAATATTTCTTACTTTTTTTTCTTCCTTTATATATATATAGCGAACTGCAAAAGGGGGAAAAAATCTCTTCACCTTGCATTAGAAGGAGGAGATTCCAAAATGAAACCAAAATTGCTACACAAGCTCTGCAAAAGACTACTAAATTCATCCAACTGACTTCATAATTAGTAGACGCACTATGAAATTACTTATGTTTTCTCTACTTCGTCAACCATTTTGGGAAGAGGAAACAAAAAATTCTGTGTTCCAAATTCCTCAAGCTCTCAAAAATCTGCAAAAATAGAAAAATCAACATCACCAAATCATAAAAGCATGAGGTAGATTGGAAAAAAGGACAAATAGTCAACAAACTAAGAAGATGAAAACTAGCTTAAGCTTACCATCCTTTTTCTTCACTACACCTCTTGCGAAAAGAATGCAAATGACCAAAAACCCTACTCCGGCTGCCCCTCCAAATATTATAGCCATCGTCTTTCCTGTATTCGGCCCTGCCCCTATTTATTATTCAAACACAATATACATTTTAATAAATCCAATCATCAATACAAAAATATAGGAGGCAAACAAGATGCAATACAAAAATAAAGTAACATATACACTTCTGAGTTCTGACCAACTGCTATTTTAATATAGTAACATTTAAATTTCTGACCAAACACCGCCTTAGAATATATAAATAAAATCATATTAAAAGAACAGAGATCCCCACAAATCAAAGTCCAACAAAAACACCTTTGTCTTCAGTTTCAAGATTTTGGTTATCAACTTGAGAGAATTTCCTGAACCTTCACCAGTTAACGACACAGATTGAAGTAGATATATAAAATACCAAGTCTTGATTATACCAGTCCTCGCATATAACAATAAATAAAAAAATAAAAAAAACTTGAAATACAAACAATCTAAAAATCACATACTCAAATTGCATCTAAATATTAAACAAAAAAACATTCAAAAATTAAAGAATCAAACCTGAGGAAGAAGAAGAGGAGGATGAAGAATACGAAGAAGAATACGGAGAATTAAAGGAAGCAGAGGCAGATTTCTTGGGCGACCCATTCGGACCATACCCGTACCCGACAAAGCACTTGTCCAGGTAGACCCGACCCGCAACCGAGCTCCCACACTCGACCTGCGCCCTCTGCACCGCAATCCGCACGCAGTCAGCACAGTCGGCGGGCCCCACGTCGCCCTCGCACTGCCCCATCACGTACACGGACTCGGCGCTCGCCGAGTAGAACCCATCCCGCACGCCGTTGCAGCTCATCCCGCTCTCCAGCGCGCTCAGGGCCGTGTCCCTCCTCTCCTCGAACCCTTGCCCACCGGCGCTCTTCTCGCTGCAGTCCTTGTACAACATCTCCATTCCGGACATCCTCGAGTACCCCGACACCTCGTACGACATGTAGCAGCCGGCGAGGTGCAGCCGGGCGGCGACGGGCCGGCCGCTGCAGAGCCGGTCGATGAGGATCGGGATCTTGCTCACGCAGCTGTAGCAGTCCACGTTGGAGAGGTCGCCCCGGCACTGGAAGAGGCCGTCGATGGAGTCCCGGCCGGCGGCGGCGGCGGTGGTCCGGAAGAACTTGTTTCTGGAGGATTGGGCGACGAGGGTGCCGAACACGGTGGAAATTGCCTGGGAGGAAGCGCCGGAGGGGTCCGAGAAGGACTGGTTTGAGCAGCCCTTGTAGACGACGGTGGTGGAGTCGGATTCAGGTCGGGAATATGGGGCAAATTGGAGGAGAATAGCTAGAAGGGGGAAGAGAAGAGGGAGGGGTTTTGGGGGGTTTCCCATTTGGTGATGTCTCACTCTCAGATGGATTAAATCATTGTGGAAATTAAATTATTCATTTCTCTTGTGGATTTCAGAAAGATGAGGGCCATTTGAGGATGTGTGTGTGGCTTGAATGGACAACGAGGAAGATTTTGAAGGGTGTTAAAGAGAAAACAAGGGAATTTCGATTTTGTGGGGTGGGGGTGTGAGAGATTTTGTTCTGGTAGAGTTTTGAGAAGGCTTTCCGTAGGAGCAGCAATCTGTATTATCCTCTACAGTTCTACCTGCACAAGCAATGCTAGAGGAGGAGCTGTGTTAATGACCCTTAGAT